ATAGACGTTTCTGGAGATATTATGCATTTATTCTAAAGCCACACATTTTAAAGTTTTCATTAAATATATGCACCATCATCGCAATATAAAATTATAAAACTTAGGAAAACTTGTAGATCTATGTCTTCTGAGTTTTTGCTCCTTAAATGACAGATTACCTACGCATGTTGGCAGTGAATGATAATTCGAAGCACATTAAGAGCTTTATCACTAATTGTTCAACGAACAAAATATTTTAAATTACTGTGTCCACAACTTCATCCTACAGCCTAAAGAATGTGGGACACAAACTTAGGGATTGATACACGCGAACTAAGGAAATATAATGGGCAAGGGAATCTAATTGTAAGTACCTCTTCATCAACGGTAAACCTAAAGCAATACCTAAATGCTCACCATCGATGTTCACTGCACACTTCTTGATCCAGCAGTCACGTTTCCGCATTCCAATGAAGGATCTTTTAGAGATTACGCAACAACATTGCCCTACGTTTCTTCATTAATATACGATGTTTAGTTTGGTAATGTTTATCAAACGTGTGTTACTATATCCGCGTTAATTAGACGGCGATATTGTATATTTACCAGAAGACGCACACTGGTCGAGAACTTTAACAAAACTTATCATTTATTGACCAAAATCAGACTATTATTTATTAGCAGAATACAAACCAAACACACTTACCTATAAAAACGCAAACTAATGACACTCAAAAAAATAATTATGGAACAGCAAACCAGTCCCGGGAACCTGTGTTAGCTATCCGATACACTTTCTAAGTCAAAAAACAAACCCAAATTTGACCAAAAGAAATGGAATAGATGAGAAGCATCAGACCACCGGGCATAGACTCACAGTGGTCCCCGTATGACACAGGAAAACAAAAGAAGACCAGGGCGCACTCTGATGGGAGAAAGGTAAGGTTTGGATAGGGGTGGTACAAAGGTAACGTCACAGCCGTTTATAAAAAATTAAAACAAATGAATAATAAAGACAGAACTAGTAACTGCATGGATCAGAGCCCTTCACGTAAAGATACTAGTCGCTCACATAGTCAAGAAAATTTTCGCCTTACACGGAATCTGAAAGATTTATTGTCGTATTCACAAGAGCCCAGACATACACTAAACAAAATTACGGAATGTAAAAGGGCACACACAACGTTTTGGTAATTTTCCACAGCTTTTTCGTCGAATATGAAGAATAATTTAATCGAATATCTTAAAACAGAACAGGACTGAATCCTTTCAAATCCTGAAGTGCTAGTACTTGATAATCTTGTATCCAGCTCATTCGATGCTATATAACCTAAGCACTTAAAACGGTTTCGTCAAATTACCAAAGAAATAAACTGGCGATAGATACGAACGATCATGGTTATTTAGAATTCCAGGTTCTCAAGGCAGAGAACATGAAAATGGCTATCTTCTGAGTTGGAAGGCCGTGTAGTCCGGCAGTAATTTTCCGACGTTTTACAGGTGCTGGCTGCCTGCATAAGTAGGCAACTTTCTACAAGACTACATGGCGCTTCAAGCAAGAAAACAGCCAACTTCATCATCGTTAAAACGACCACTCAAGTCTTCTGAAGAACGGTGTATTGTATAATGGGTGTGCGCGGTTACTGAGCCCATGAAAACATGTTAACCAAATTTCCGGATCAAATTTGTGAATCGTATGTCGAATTAAAACTCATGTTTTGTGTGTAATTACAGCGCTATTTCGTTCTTGAAAATATCATAACTGGGCTTTATTAAATAATTGTTAATATTCGAACCCGAAGCTCGGTAACCCTATAATGTGTGTACATTGAACTGTATTTCAGAGCGAAGCTATGAGAATTGCAGGATTAGGTTAGTGCAGAGGTTCCCAAATTGTAGGGCGCGCCCCCCTGGGGGTCGGGAGTGGTTCTCTGGAGGGGGGGGCGTGTTGCTTGTATGAAAAACTTTTTTAACGAAATATAGAGAAACATTTTTGTATCCTTCGCTTGGACGAGGCAGTTTAGTTGTCTTACAGTGCTGTAGAATTCAGACTCGTAGAGAATCGACGGTTTTAAGTAGTAAACGGTAAATATGTTCACAGAAGCAATCACATCCATCCCACTAATCTAGATATGAAACGTACATTTTATTACAGTTTTTTAACTTAAATGCATTGAATAATATATACTAAATTATAAACAAATGTGTACTCATAGCTAAATTTTATGAAAAAGCGGTTTTATTGCACTTGTTCTGGAAGGGGGACGTGAAATTTATGAAATGTTTTAAGGGGGCGCAAGGTATAAAAATTTGGGAACCTCTGGGTTAGTGTAAAGGGTAAATGTGTTAATGCACAATGTATATATATATATATATATATAAAGAAGCTCCGTTTAATTCAGGTACCACTTTAGGCAGGTTTTACCATATCTTGAAATGTCTAGTCACAAGTATTCATGTAACATTGCCTGCCATTACCTACTAGAAAAATAACATTTCTGCATAAATAAATACGATGTAATCTTCCTTTAAATTTCACACCCACAACAAAAGAATTTGCATTTCCCGAGAATACTAGAGACATCGAGAGACTAGCTCTTCGCTTATCACGTGTACCAAGAGAGCAGATGTTATATAATACAAAATCCACCATTGGCAACAACAACCAATCAGATCCCAAGCTGATATAACGTAAAGTGAGCTGCCCCTCTGTTCGCTCAAAGCTATGTTTGTGTGTAAACACGCTGGAAATGTTAAATTTCAAAATGTTTACTATACTGCGGGCAACATGCCTCATGTCTGTTTTGTTTCATACAGAAGGATATCAATCACATTTGAACTATGAGATATGCCCAAGCTTACACAGCCAGCTACACAGTTCATCAAAACGAAAATCATTTCGAGTCTTCGTATTCTCTTTGATGAAAAGAGACGACAAGGAAATGAATGTTAAAGTACGATCTTCGTATTTACTTGTGGTTTATTTAAAGACGCTTTCAGTAGCTCAGACTATGTATCGTGGAATAACAGAATGAATAATGAAAGGGAAATTACATGGAAGAAAGTGGTCTGGCCTAATTTAAGGTACTATAGTGGCATTTGCCTCGAGGGACAGGAAAAACCGAGTTTTTGTATATAATACACTTATCATAGGATACAGGTTAGGTTATCCACGTCTGAACGAGTTTTCTGTATCAAAAGCTGGAATTAATTGGGCCCTCGAGCAGGTTGTTACTTACTCGATTAAACAGTGTACGAAACTTACACAACGTAGCTGCACAGGGTTTGAAAACGTATCTGTTTTAGGCTCGTGTTCGTTAACACAGAGCAAACTATTCTGTGTGGAAATATTACATGGTAAATGATGCTGTTAATTCCGATGTATTTTGGGGTGAAAATGACAGGACACAAATTTACATAACAGGTACAAGTATACTACTCTTGACTGAGCAGTGCCCATGTATTTTTCCATCCCTCCTGTCCTTTTTTAAATAAGTCCACTGAGAAATCTGCGAATACCATATTTCTTGTTTAATGTAACGACTATTTAGACACTCTACATAATTATATGCTAACAATATGATTGTGAATCTCAGAATGATCACTTCAAAGAACGCTTGCAGTGCATGGTTAAAAATGCACATTAGAAGTGAATATTACATACATGCATTCATATTTTCGCCATGGTCAAAGCAATTAAAGCTTGCGCTTTGTTGCCAGACCTACTCCTCCGAAGTACATACTACGGTAGTAAAGTAAAGTTTGTCCCACTATACGCCAAATAGGCGTTTGGGGGGAGTGGAGGTATAGCTCCTCTCTTCCTTGACCTCGGCACTAGATGGGGGTGAGTGGTCAGCATCACGCCCTGGCCGGCTTTACCCCCGGTAAAGGACCCCGGTACCCATTGTAGAGGAGGCTGGGTGGGCCCCAGAGCCGGTCTGGACGCAGAGGCTAGAGGAAAATATCCTCTGCCCCCGTCGGGGATCGAACCCCGGTCGTCCAGCCCGTAGCTAGTCACTATACTGACTGAGCTATCCCGGCTCATATACTACGGTAGTATTAAACAACTTAAAATCGTAAAGAAACAACACTGAAGAGAATAACAATGCGATATAATACTGCTTCTACCTTCAACGATAATTTCTCTGGTAGTATCGTTGTGAGAACCCAACGGAATGTCCATTTTTTGGGAAGCGAATTTTGGCTTTTGCTACACATGGCAACGTTGAATTTTGCCTCGCGTTTCAAATGCTGTTGCAACACCAATTTTCCTGTGCTGTACCTGAACGCTGGCCTTGTGATCCTGGGGTCTCGGGTTCGATTCCCGGCGGTGCCCGAATTTATAACTTGTGTTGGGCAAGGCCGTGGTCTAGGCAACACGGAGTTTTCCTCCGGGGCATTCACCGGTTTCTCCGTGGCATCCCAACAATTACTCCATTCACACACAGAAGAAGGCAATGGCAAACTACTTCTGGATCATCTGCCAAGAACGTATATGAACAGGTCCCAGTCCGAGAAAAAGATGGAAGGATCCTGTTCATATAGACCTGTCGTCAGACAGAACACTAAATAAATAAATAAATATAAATACCATGTCTCAGCCCTGACAAGTAGTCTCAGCTTCTGATTTATTCTTCATCAAGAGACGTGTAGGACTACAGAGTCTTTAATAACCAAAGCACGACCATTTCCATCTTTATCCATCTACTCGTCAACTTACATCACTTTCCCCCCAGTTATATTATTATTAAAGTAACATTTTTAAAGAGTAGAAGCCCAAGTGGACTTATGGTTCATGGTATGGCCCCACAAAATTCTAATTTTCCTCATCCAATTATAGAATTTGTCAGAAATTACAGATTACAAGTTTTGTGTTACTGGTTTGAGGAACTTTGCTTTTTCCCTACTTATATCCCGGGAGTCTGATTTCCTTATCAGCACAAGGCCGGGTAGGGGAGGCGGTGCTGAAGCCAATGAGACAGATAACTGACCAGGCGCGCGTAGTTCTTGATTCAACGCGAGCATTGGTGAGTGTATTTTAGTGCAGCTCAACACGACTGTCCTAACACTACCAACCCGACACACCGCAAAAGGTATTAGTGTATGGTACGTTTATATTTTACAAATAGAATAACTTCATTTACATGAACACCGGTTTCAAATTACCTTGAGCAGCTATGATGTGTTTATAATAATATTTATTATATCACTCGATTAATAAGATGCAATCTGTTTCATTACTTGCATTTAAGAAAACAGAACAGGTAATATGGAATGTTTTGAAGACAGAATTTTCTGGACCGCATGCCAAAGCTGTAGGCTAAATTTTATTTTCTTCGTATAAGTTATTTTTCATGAAGTTCAAATGGAACTGCATCAATTTCCCTCAAAATGCAGCGTATATTACAAAAAATCTCGTGGACATTCGTGAAATAAAACTTTCGCTAAGACAATATTAAATTAAAATCTGGAAGATCGAACGTCCAGGCCAAGTGATATATCGCAGCTTTGTACTATGAGGTCTCGGCTTCCAATCTCGGTCTGCAGACCAGGTACCCTGAAAGGTTTCCGTCGCCTTCCTCAGCTATGCAGCTAATTTTCGTCATGTTACCTTCATTCATTATATATTAATCATTCAAACATTGAATAATGTAGAGTCTAAGCCACTGATGTCGATAAATAAAATAAGTAAAATCTAGATTTTTACTTAAGTATAATAATTTTAGATAGGTAAATATTTAATGAAATACAAGAAATATAATATAAAGTATGCAGTGTGATATCTGTAGAACGATTATCTTTGAAACAGCATGTGTGGATACTAAACCGCAAAGAACATGGTGATATTCAGGTTCTCACGACGAATATGAAGCTAAATGTTTTCTAGGTTGTTGATCCGTGTAGTCTGATCGAAGTTTATCAACGCTTCACTGATTGTACTGATGATGCAAACAGCAGGTAATTCTAATATTAATATTATGGACCCTAATGCAACAATTCCACAGCAGGCCAACCTATTCCAGCCTTCCAAACTATCGGTTTTCCAAAATAAAAATATGGCGGATATGCGAATTTATGTGCTACTCAATGTATTGTATGAATTCAAAGACTAAGTAGTTTCAGAAAGAAAGCCCTTTCCCACCTTGAAGCGTTAACAATTTCAATACCTAAATTTATTTCTGACAACTACATTTTTATATTACATTTATTTTCTTCTCAATTTCCCAACGAAACTCTGCCAATTTCTTGCTTCTTGCCAGGGGCAAATTACCCTGGAAATGAAAACTGGATTACTGGACAGCGAATATGTTCAAAGAAAGGTTGAAAAGATTCCAAAGTGAGCGGCCATTGAAACAAAATATTTTATGATTTGTCACTAATGAGGGCAATAATTCAGATTTTTAGAAAAAAATACTACTGTTAACACAATCCTGGATAGGTCTGACCTACTTTGGCAATTACACATACAGTGACCCTAAAAGATGTTGCACACTATATTCCGTATTATAATGTGCTTACATATTTTTGAGAAAATATGTATTTTTCTAATGTGACTTACGTTTTTATTTTCATACGTGATGTTTAATATCTGTGACTTTTACAGAAATTGCAATGCACAAAGTCAGAAAACAATTTTCTGTGTTTTTCGCCAAATGCACATCTGAACGAGAATTTTTTTAAAAAAATTGTTATACTGTTTTAATTTATGTTAATATCACGTAAAAATGTGTGTGTTAAGTGCTGATTTTTGAGATGACTGGTTAGTTCAAATTGAGCTTCGAGTAAAATATGGATTCTATTGAAAAAATACGAATAAAAGATGTGTGGGCTGATGGGCTGTTTTTAGGACGTGTTCTCATCCCATATGTAATGCATAAATCTTAGAGCATTCCACACTCCAGTGAGATAGATATCCCTCGAAACACTTCATTTGTATTTAATTACTTATACCTTCCGTAGGAGAAAGGTCATATGCAGTACTTAACCCGTCCATATTCTGTATGAAGGTTCCTACATTCAAATCTGAGTCTTTAAACTACGGAACAAAATTGGCTTTCAGGTAATCACAAGATACATGACAACCCAGGCGAATGGTTATGAGGCAGCAAACTAAACAGTCTTATCACTCTGTCAGTCAGGCACAAACATCAGCACTCCCTTGCAGATTACTGCAGGCTCTTGTCGAGATAAACGTAAATATATCCTGCTTCATACACACATTTCCGCTTATACATTCCGAACCCAAACCATAGGTCAGATTTTTATTGTTACTAAGCAGTGTACATTTTTAATCTTTTACTTCGTTTCTATTTGTCTTTTGCTTTTTTCAGTACGTTGAAGCATTTTTGAACATATTATGTAGGCAGTCGAACTTCGCTCCTTTCCATTTTTGATAGGAATTTTCCATCTAAGATTTATAATTATTTTACGAAATTACATTTTATAAGCAGGAAAATAAAAATGATAAGAGACGGTATTTTATGTAAAATTCTTGTATCTCCTTGTTTGATTACTTTAGATAACTTATTTTGCGTTTATTAGAGGCAATTAGGTTTTAGTTTTGCATCAAAACTTCGTCTTGGACATATTTTAGTTATTTCAATAAGATATTTTTAAACATTTTCCTCCTCGTCTATACATTTTTATTTCATGGTTACTTTTGTGACACTTTCCATTAAAATGTAAACATTTATGACGACATTTAGGCCACACATCCCCGAGACAACGTCCATTACTTCAGATCGATAAACAATCTCAATTCAACCAAATGTGATACACTGTGTCCTACGTCACTCACTCCGTAACGAGAAATATCCTTCGTATTTTTCACACATCAAGCTGAAGGCAAAATTCCATTGAGACGTTTGTAATGGATTCAGTTGTCATACTTATCACTCACTATAGCGACCTCACTTGACCGTGTTCGTTGTGCCAGTTGCATGTATCAGTTTTACAGTGAATTTATAGACATGTTAAGAAACGATAAATCACAAACTGTTCATTTCAGTTATTAAAATAAAATCTACTATTATTATTTTTGAGCAAATTTTATGGAAATCAAATGTCGTCAGGAGTATAGGAAACCCATAAACCAAGAACTACCGACGTGCAGCTATGTTGATTCGCTGCACTGTCAAAAGAAATAAACAACAAATCGTACGTCAGAGAAGTATCTGCGATTGGTACTTGTGGGTTATCGGGACACAAAACAGGGAGGCACGGCCCGACATCATCTGGATTCATATTTAGCTGAGTTCATGTGGCGGCGTACAAATGATAACGGCGATATTTTTAAAGCAATTTTAAAATCTATAAGCGAATTTTGGCCTCCGGAGACAGGTAGTAACAACAATTAACATCTCATGCATATAAAAATAAAATATAATATTTTATAATTTATTTAAATAAAATATAATGACTTTCAAGTATTTGTCATTTATCCACACACATTAATCTAACGTAACCTAAGATAACCTAACCTAACCTAACCTAACCTAACCTAACCTAACCTATTTTTAAAGCGATGTGTCCCGATAACTCACAAGTACCTCTACGATTTTCTGTTCTCTGTCACAGAAACAGGAAACACTTTGCTGACACAGTTTGAGTTCCTGCTTCTTAGGTTGCGAGAAATTTGCAAAACATGAAAGTTTACCTCTGCATTTAACATGCAAAATTCACCATATTATTGTCATCATCAGATGAAATCAAAGTCTCCCATGAAATTCTGCCATGTTAAATGGGGCGATCTTAGCTACACAGAGACTAGACTGGTTAAGTAACCCTTACCTTCTCGAAATAGGTAACATAAAATACATTTGTTATGATCAAGAAAGACAAACTCAACGTAGTAAATCCAGAATAACTAGAAAGAAAGGTGATATGCTCACCCCTAAAGCGGTAAATCAGGCCAAATTGTAGTCATCGAAATCTGTTATAGACATTTGTTTTAATTACGAAAAATACACAGCTAATTCCAACACATTACACTCTGCATCTCAAAGAACCCTCTTTGTCAGATGAACGCATTATTTGTAGTGCAGTGGTGCATGAAAAATGATGCTTTAATAGGGGGCTACTGCAAGATCAACGCCTATTCCTGATTCTCATAACTAATAAAACCGCTTAGGTTTCAGCTCAGCCCCACTCTATACTTCCACGCAGACTAAACCACAATAATAAAAAACCAACGAAGTTATCAGTGCCATGATAAATGGAGTGAATAACATGTTGCTGACTCGATGGACGTTTCGTTCATCCGGCCGAGTACTTTCCACGCCAAAGACTTATGACATGGAACAAAGTCCTTAAGAATCTACTAACATCTCAGTTGACGTAGGAAATAACACTAAATCCGACATTTCATTGCCATTTACCCAAGATTCAACGACTGGGTCCCATTCTGATTCAGTCCGTACCATATTTATTTAAGATCCATTTAAAAATCCTGCTTCGGTTACATATATGTCTCCCATGTCACCCGACTAGACTTTGTCCTGTTCTGTATTTTAAATGCGTCCTAACATTGCATAATATGCGTATTAAATGTAGTTGTAACACACTGGTAGTACACATTATTCAAATTTGTCCTAATATTAGTAGCAACGTTTGATTTACTAGACAGTCTTTCCGACTGAAAAATCAATCCCGGGCGCCCAAAATATGTCCTCTAATAAATCTCACCGACGTTTATACGAAACGCAAACTGACGCCTTCATTCACATTCCGTCCACAGATGATATACGTAACCGGAGAAGTGCCCGATGCTGCCAAATCACCCAAACTACAATTTTTTTTAATTTAACTAATGACGAAATGCATTCTCACATGTTTTAACACATAAATTCTTCAATTATCGATCAATATGGAGTAATACTGGACTGCATCACGGGGTGTCATTTGTCGTTATGCATACTTGACCAGCTTTTCAATATTACATTAATTTTGTGTCGCAGCAGAATATATGAATATAAAACAGTTGTATAACACGGGCTAAAGACAGAGCACTGTTAGAGCAGACATATCGAACTGGGACCTCTTCGATGATTTGTGGGGCCCAACTCGCTTAATAAATTGTACATGATATGCGGTCTCAAATGCCCCAGTTTTAAATAAATATGAAGTTCAAAATGCGTCTTAAATAGCTGCGTGTATATCTCTTTTATGTTTCAAGTAAATAAAGTGAATATATTTTTATATGAAATTCACAATGTGTCTGCTTGTGATAAAATAGAGAAAAGAAAACTATATCTTAAGTTTCGAATTAGTAAAAGTAGGAAATTACGAATTGCCAGACGCGTGTAATGGCTTCTGGATCAGTGACCTCTTTTGAAGCGGCCCTTGGCAGACGCAGAGTTTGACAAGTCTGGGCCATATTAGTCATTATATACAATTAAGAAAACCACATGAGAGAGACAGTGATGAATGAACTTTGTCCAAGAACCAGAATCCTTATTGGGAAGCTGATAAAAACGATCAGCCAGTAAAAGAAAATAAATTCTAGGCCTTCTATGCAACCAGGTGATGCATTACCTTATCCAAAACGGCCCGTCACAGGTCACTTCTGATCCATATGAATCAAATCGACGTCCCCACTATATTTTCCGAAGATTCATTTTGGTACTGTCGTTCAACGACACCTACGTATTCCCAATGGCTTTCAGAAAACAATCTTATACGGATATGCAACCTGTTTCATACGTGTCATATGCCCCACCCATCCTGCTTCATTCTATTCTAATAATATTCGTTGAACATTATAAATCATTAAACACCTCATTGTGCAGTGTTCTCCGCTTTTTACTTCGCCGCTCCTAGTTCAAGATATTCTCCTTAGCACCCCGTTTAAAGAGCCCTTTGTGCGTATTATTCCCTTGTTCCGAGAGACCAAGTTTCCTTATATCAGAAATGAAAATTAAATATTTAAATATGCAGAACCAATATTTTAGCCCTGTTATTTTTGGATGTTGAACTTGGTCTCTCATTATTTAAGTTTCCTTATATCAGACGAGAGACCAAGTTCAACATCCAAAAATAACAGGGCTAAAATATTGGTTCTGCATATTTAAATATTTAATTTTCCTTATATCAGAGAGGAAGAGCCGGGATAGCTCAGTCAGTATAGTGACTAGCTACGGGCTGGACGACCGGGGTTCGATCCCCGACGGGGGCAGAGGATTTTTCCTCTAGCCTCTGCGTCCAGACCGGCTCTGGGGCCCACCCAGCCTCCTCTACAATGAGTACCGGGGTCCTTTCCCGGGGATAAAGCCGGCCGGGACGTGATGCTGACCACTCACCCCCATCTAGTGCCGAGGTCAAGGAAGAGAGACGCTATACCTCCTCTCACCCCAAACGCCTATACGGCGTATAGTGGGACAAACGTTTTTATCAGAGACGAAGAATTTTACTTAACCATAAGTTATTTAATGTAACTTTGATATTTCACCCTCTCTCCGAAATATTTGAATTCTGGACAATTTCCAAAGGATTTATTATTAATATTTTTATGTTATCCTCTAGCCTGACGATTTATTATGAAACAAAAACTAGGGCACTTCTCGTTTCACAGCTTTTACATCTGGACTACCTTCCTTAAGCAAAGTACACAACCGTTGGCAGGGTCTCGAGAGATGAGGTCACTTATGGGATAATAACAAGTAGGTTTCATAGAAACAGTCACACGATATATAAACTGATCCTCACTGCTTGAGGATAAAGTCCAACGGAGATTACTTTTGATGACTATATTGTTTTGTAATTTTAGTACGACACCACATCGCTGAAACAGCTGCGTTGGTAAGATTCCGTTCTTATGATCCTGTGAAGCTGCTGATGAAGCTTGCTTCGTAAGTTCTGCAACAACATTTCTGCGTCCAGTTACACTTGTTTTCTGTTCGCAGTGAAGAACGAACGGCAAGATGAATGATGGTAACGCGTATTCTCCGTTGCTGGATGATTCTGGGAGCAGATCGTAAGTATGCATACATGTGTATGATTACTGCTCTTTCTTAAACAAATTAGTATCTGAAAGCTAATCTAACTTGCAGTTTGATATAAAATGGTGACCTGACTACACAAACAATTTGATAATAAAAATTCTGGCTCAAATAAATAACACGTAGTCTTTAAATTCATCAAAATAAATGTTAACAACATTATGCATGATTCTGTGGTAAAATACGAAAAAAATATTAAGAGGGGGAAAAGTAAGTCGCGTGACTAACAGATGTGTACGGTTTCGTATGAGTTTTGAATCACTCTTTATAAACATGTTTCAAATGTTAATACAAAGGATACGAGCATAATTAAGACAATTTTACATTACTATGAACCTGTACGTGTGTAAATTATGCCTGCAAAACGATAAGACAATTTTATAATTTTTAAGTTACAGTTCTTGATTGAAGGTAAGCTATTCCAAGAACAGTATATTTGCCTTCCTTGCTTTCCTATGCATGGGAAAGCTACAGGTGATAACGTATCATGTACTTTGGCACTGCCTAATCGAACACATCAGGCCAAACCTGATAAGATTAGCTAAATCTACTGTTTTCCAACAAACATCGTTCAGTTCAGTTTGTCACAAGACAAACAAAAAAGAAATCAATTTCACAGCAACCATTTATACCTGGGAAATGACTGCTGTACCTTCTTCGGAAATGTTTGTAACCACCCACAAGACTACACGGTGTCAAAATCCAGAACACTACAATCCACTATTTTATCGAAGTGAAAACGTCGAGTCTCATATGATTCTTAAAATTTCAAAATCTGACAATTTGAACTGTAATTAATCAAGTGCATACTGTGAACTAAAATAATTTCAAACTTAAAGTTCAATTTTATAGTTTTCTACACAAAAATTGTATCCTCCACACACTATTCCTCTCAAATACACAATTTTTACATAATTATTCCAGTCAGGTCTAAATTTCTTATAAGCGATCCCTGTACTTGATTCGTCTAATCAAAATTATGAATATACGTCTTGTGTCTCACAAATTTCTAACAGAGCACTAAAAATTAGCACTCATGTTAAAACAATAACGTATTACGCGGTCTAGGTGATCTGTTTATTTATTTGTATTCATCGGTATGAAAGGAAGGGGCCGTGACCTAATTTAAGGTATTATCTCAAACAATATTAGAACAATCAAATCAGAGAAGACGCAGTGGATGGGGCGCGTATAATTTATGGAAGCGACGGTGAGTTCATATAAGACGTTAGCCGGGAAAACTTCACTTGAGAGCCCAAGGCCTACATGGCAGGACGCGACTTAAAGATACAAGATGCGAGATGTGAATGTGTAATGAACTCAGCCTCATCAGGTTAAATTTTATTGGCCCACTTATGAACACGGAAATGACAACTTGGGTTCCGTGAAAGACAGAAATTTCTTCGCCAGGTGAGCTATTATTTCAGTTTTTCAGTTACGACTGTGCTCCATGTAGATACTGTAATATGCCATCAACAAACTTACTACGATGGTGAGTGGGAGTTTGAAATACATTTTGTCCATCTCTGTTGTATTTTCTAGAAATTTTTCTTGCTGTTGTCTAAGCACATGAAGGATTACAAACATTGGTTTTTAACTAAGCCACGCCATAATTCACGCACGTCTCACACTTCTGGTTCATGACTCATGTTACGGTTGATTGTATTTGAACACTGTAATAAAATTATTTATTTTTCGTAACAGGTTTGTTCAAATAGAGAAGTTGAATTTCTCTTGAAGAAGGATATTTAACTACACACAAAAGGCAGATACATGCGTACTAGACGTAGGCAATAAGTGAAGCAATGACTAGAAAGCATGATTGAACACCATTGTTCTGCGAGTGGTGGTTAAACAGAGAGGTGCTAATTGCGCATTTGGTTTCAGCGTTCTTTCAAGATGCTGCCTTCATCGGACGCCTCTAGAGAGAAAACTGGTTGTACTGTCTATAGTCCTGGCAGTGACAACATTCATTCTCCTCATAACAGTGATAGTTCTCAACAACAAATGTAAGTAATGACAAAAATTTCGGGGTTTAAATTGGCTGCTGCTTGTGTCGAAGTGTATAGAATCAATTAAATTATTATATTTTCGAACTTAAACTATGTCCTCCATTATTAAATTTAAAACCTACTTTCTTATTTGTACTACAGATCTAATTTATCATCGGAAACAAATAAATATATAACCTATTTGTACTCCTTTTCTTTTTTCTTAATTACACAAGATGTAAATATTGTCTTACGTAGTTTAAGATTAATGAATTTATTCTTGTTTAATTTCATGACTCTTTAACAAGTATGTATGAAAGAATATGCCCTTTATGAGGGGCGGAGGATAATGATATTCACATACTATTAAAGTGTACGGAAACCGGGAGGTGGAGGGAACGGCTCCTGAGGAACAAGTGGTTCACCGTTGGCGAAGAGTTGGCCTTCAAGAAAATTTTAAGCACTACGAATGACACGGAGGTCAGGGATGTAGGGAACTTCCTGTTCTATAAAGTAAGATTTAAAAGACAGGTCAAAATTAGGAATTTAGAACTGCCACTGGGATAGAAGGCACGAGAGCAATAAGAAATAGTTATGTAAATAGTATTAGGGATTAAGGAATAGTTATGTAGAGTAGCATTAGGGAATAGTTGTAGTAAGAAGTGCTAATAGTGCTGTGGCCGTGAAAACCTGGTGTTGGGCGGCCACAGATCTCTGTATACAGTTTATGTATCATTAAATCATGTACACGGTCCACTTTTCCATTCAGAAGAAAACCACAAAATAGTCAGGTAACTCGGCTTCCACGCTGAGATCTGACGAGCGGTACCAACCATTCAACAAGCACGATGTTCGATCATATAATTTAAACGTCCAGTAGCCTTGCAAGGACTACAAAAAGCCATTTTACTAAATTTAGTTATAACATTATGAAGAGCCCCATCTTGTGTCTTGAATATCCACTATTTTATGAATTCGTCTGGTCCTCTCTTCTCATAACTGATACCGAATATTTTCGTGGAGGTGATTAACTACACGGTGGAGAGCTCTCGAGAACGTAATTTGGTCAAGGAACATCTCGCGTTTTAAAACTGTCCTATATAAACCTAGAGCTCCAAAGTGGACTCGTCCGGATGCGTTGGATACCCTTTGTGAAATTTTGTGGGGGTTTTCTCTAACCGTATCCTGAGTAAGAGTGGTAGAAAACAAAAGATGTTAAAATTAACGCGCTTAAAAGAGTTCATTGTGACAGAGTGGGTAAAAATACACAGTTACTGATCACTGCCTTCCCATCTCTTGCTAAGATCATGACTCAGTCTAGTGCAGGGTAACAAGGAGTGGTTTGCGTTGTCACTCTTATTTCAGCGATCAATAAACCCTTAATTTCTTCACAAAGAAACGGAAGGCCACATAATATTAACGTTTTAATAGCTAAAGGCAAGACGTGCAACCAATGTCGTGGGAGATTTCTTAGTAATCCTGCTCCGAATAGGTTAGATCCGTATTTCTAACGTAGATCAAAAACCGATCATCCTGATTGATAATTTTCGTGCTATTCCTCAGACCTTCCAGGCATGTGCTATGTTTATTCCCTTAAAGTTGGTAAGAATAGCTTAATTTCTCATTCTTTCTAATTTATAATCGTCCCATCATTCAAAACTTCCCAACCTGTTTCATATAGGTATTAAACGTTGTTAAACAATAACAAAAATCAATTAATCTACAAGACACAGGACTGCATAATAAGATATTAGCCGAAGATAATGTTTTTTGGTAAAATTAACCACAGACATTGTATTCTAAATCGAGGTCGTTTTTTAAAAGTTTCTGGGCTGAATCCAGCTGAACACCCTTTTAGGGGAGTCCAACCGTACCACGACGATACGAGGCCTGACATCATGGAACTGTTGGAACTCCACTGCACTTTATAAATTTCCCTTTGTTACCACCCACTGTTACGTGGGACTCATATTTACGATCACCTCTAACAAGTTCTGCAGGTTTCCATCCAGTTCTTTGCGTGCCACTCACTTTTACCACTGAGTTGGTCGTTCTTCATACAGAAGTGCTTTCCGGGACTTCCCAGTAGGATAATTAAATTATACGACATACACAACAAAATAACTTTCTGAAGCCTACATATACATACAAATGGAATCAGTGACTCTAGTAAGACTAGTTCTTTGTTCAGTAAAATGTATGAGAACCAACTCTGTTGAATACATCAAGTGGAGCTAGTCTCTATAACCGATGATAATATAAAGACATGCTACTTTAGTAAATTTTGGTATTTCTTGTCGAAAATAAAGGCAATACAGACTTTTCTACAGACAGAGAGAGAGAGAGAGAGAGAGAGAGAGAATATACACAAGTCTCAATTTTTTAGTCATATGTTGAAGGTTGGAAGCAGTTTCAGACTACATAGGTTAGCAATCATCTGCACATGTTTCAGCCTCACTGAAAAATATCAGCGACAGTTGACGGTAACCTCAATTGATACTAATGCAGAGACGCAAACAAAAAGAGAAACGAATAACTTACAAATATTAATTCTTTCTCATCTGAATTTCAAACCGCTTCTAACGTAAATAGGGGTCCGCAGTGGTCTAAGGCGTGGGCCTTGTGCCGCTTGGTCGCTGGGACCGTGGGTCCGAATCCTACTCAATCCATGGATGTTTGTCCGCGTCTTTCTGTGTTGTGCTGCCGATCCCTCGTCCAAGGAGTCCTACCAAAATGTCCATAGATCAAAGCCAACGAAAATGTTGTGACCCGCAGTGCTTAGGCACTTGAAGAACGGGTCGTTCCCAGCAATCCAGTAACTATCATAAATATCATAAACTTTTGTTACTATTCGGAATAATGCTGTCCATGCAATATTTCGAACAGAATGTTCAGCTCTTATATGGCCGCGCCCTGTTTCCATAGCAGCTGTCGTGGTACCTACTTCTGGCTTAGTGAAATATTCTTTTATTTATTTATCGCAGTAATAAGATTACGATGATGTGTACTTACTTGCACAAGAACAGGAATTTTCCATGCCCGATAAGATACAGGTCACTCTGAAACTGGCTCCTTTCCCACGTGTTTTATGTGTGATAAACCTTTAGAGCTCCTGAAAAGTTAATGTATTAAACTTTATTACCTAACAATTAACAAGTTTTTAACAAAATGGCGTATTTATGACGAAATAAGTGACAAATAAAAGATTTCACCCGAAAAGAAGATACAATAAGTACGGCATGTAGTTATGAATCTAAATATTTTCATAATGTTATAAAATTCGATCGAAACTATGCCAGACACAATTTTCAGTACTCGTTGACAACAGCACAGTTCCCTCAGGTCTCAATAATAGATTTTTTTCTCTCGAAATGACCTTCTCCTACTTTGAACCATCTTCTAATTCTTTGGCTTCTTAATTTTGGAATTAAATAAGGTTTTGTTAACTTCTTTTCTTTTTCAGACCATGACGCAGAAGCACATACGTCTACAGCTGCTCCTAGTACAACACCAATTACAACTACCACACCTACCACCACTATTGTAACTGAAACAACTACAAGTCCGACCACAGTCACAATTCCGACGACCAAAGCCACAATTCCGACGACCAAAGCCACAATTCCGACGACCAAAGCCACAACTCCTACGACCAAAGCCACAATTCCGACGACCACAGCCACAATTCCGACGACCACAACCACAAGTCCGACGCTGATCACTTTCCCAGATATAAACGAATCTCTGTCCAAAAAAAAAACTACAAGCCAATCAACTGCTAAAGATAAGACCACAACAGCAGCAACAATCAAATCTACGAGAACTACAACAACTCCTGGCGTGACGACTGTGAGTACACCCATATCTGCCAGGACCAGCAAGAGGAGTGATTCACCAATATTCACAATCTCGAGGTGGCTTGTATTTGTGACATTATTTCTTTCGTTTTCTCGATGAAAAACGCCAGAATTTTATTAGAGTTTAAATCTGCATTAGGCATTTAAATTTCGTAACTGTTCCACAGTCCCAACTTACATTCTTCTCTTCAGATCACATTGTTTTCGTGTCGATCCATGTTGAATTTTATGGACTTTAACTCTTACATTAATTTTCAGTTTGAAAGAAAATTCATCCAACTGATTCCTTCTCATATTTGAATAAATGCCAAACAAAACTAGAACATGTCCTCTTGAAAGGATCTCAAATTTAACTGATATATTGTTAATGAATTTATCGGTTTTGAAAGAAAAAAACAACAATATTTATTAGTAAACTAGGTAAATGTACAAGATAATACAATAGATATTAGTTAATTTGAGAGAGAGGAATGTATAATAAAATGGAAAATCACTGAATACAGTGTAATAGAAACTCCATCTACATTTTAGTTAACCAGCTATTACTGAAATGTGTATGATGTGTGCTGTAAAGCTACATAAAATGTGACTATATCGTTTTTCTGGGTTTTGGCGCCGTGTTGACTAGTAGCTACCAGTGTTTCAGCCTTGAAGTTGGAGACAGTGTTTCTCCGAAATATTGGCATTTGTCTACTGGCGTCCAACTACAGATGAACAACATCGTCACCTTAACTGTCCTGATAACCTCAAATTTAATTAAAAATATATTTTGTAATTTTTAATATGTAAAGAAAGTAAGATAAATAAAAACGAAAACAAGTTATATTCCGCAGAGGTATCCAAGAGGAACAGTTAATAGATCCGTCTTGCTGCTTCAGAGATATACTGTTGATTTAATTATTCATTACTTGGATTCTACGCCTGACGTACTACACACTGATGAGTTTTGTATCTTTACAAAGATGGAAATGTGAATTACCAGTAAAACATATTACTATATTGTGTCAAGCATATTTGAATTTAGCCTAACTGTTGAATTTATAGACTACAAATATCAAGAAAGGAACGTATCAAAGAGTATCCGATAAGAAATTGTGTAAAGCAAACACACTTACAAAGATGTGTGCTTAACTAAGCAGTGTATGTTCAAACGTGAAGTTTGCTAACATTGGTCATTAACGGATATTTCACATATTCACATCTGGTCGTGTGCGCATTCGCAATGTAAAAACCTTGAATTTCACCGAATTCGAATAAAATGTCGTTCTGCAGATATTGGTGATTAAACTCATAGTTTGAACGTCCATGTTGTTTGTCATGTAGATGATATAAGAACCAGATAAAGTAGTCATTCCATAAACTGGCATATATTTCACACATAAACCCAATTTTACATCACTGTATTTACTCCTATCTGCAACAACACATCTGCATCAATTTATTCGGAAATAAATTCAAAATGTGCTGATATATTATGAGATTCGAATTAATTTATGTGCACATTGTCACAGCTCCTCATCTTTCTAGAAGCAAACCTAACGTACTGATCAAAGTCCTATAATTGGAAATCAATTCAAGCTTTTCGGATATAAAATTCAGAGTTAGATGCATGCCACTTGCATAAATTGACTAAATTATATAATTATGATAACTGTACATGCCTGGCATACGATTAGGCATAATAATAATAATAACAACAATAAAATAAAACTATATAATATCCGTAACACGTATTAAAACAAAATGTATTTCGGAAATGGCTGGTGCACTATGTACCTCAGGGGCAAGGGTTGTCTCGGGTACATGAAAGTAAATATCCTATAAAGTGGAATAATAATAATAATAATAACAACAATAAAATAAAACTATATAATATCCGTAACACGTATTAAAACAAAATGTATTTCGGAAATGGCTGGTGCACTATGTACCTCAGGGGCAAGGGTTGTCTCGGGTACATGAAAGTAAATATCCTATAAAGTGGAATAATAATAATAATAACAACAATAAAATAAAACTATATAATATCCGTAACACGTATTAAAACAAAATGTATTTCGGAAATGGCTGGTGCACTATGTACCTCAGGGGCAAGGGTTGTCTCGGGTACATGAAAGTAAATATCCTATAAAGTGGAATAATAATAATAATAACAACAATAAAATAAAACTATATAATATCCGTAACACGTATTAAAACAAAATGTATTTCGGAAATGGCTGGTGCACTATGTACCTCAGGGGCAAGGGTTGTCTCGGGTACATGAAAGTAAATATCCTATAAAGTGGAATAATAATAATAATAACAACAATAAAATAAAACTATATAATATCCGTAACACGTATTAAAACAAAATGTATTTCGGAAATGGCTGGTGCACTATGTACCTCAGGGGCAAGGGTTGTCTCGGGTACATGAAAGTAAATATCCTATAAAGTGGAATAATAATAATAATAACAACAATAAAATAAAACTATATAATATCCGTAACACGTATTAAAACAAAATGTATTTCGGAAATGGCTGGTGCACTATGTACCTCAGGGGCAAGGGTTGTCTCGGGTACATGAAAGTAAATATCCTATAAAGTGGAATAATAATAATAATAACAACAATAAAATAAAACTATATAATATCCGTAACACGTATTAAAACAAAATGTATTTCGGAAATGGCTGGTGCACTATGTACCTCAGGGGCAAGGGTTGTCTCGGGTACATGAAAGTAAATATCCTATAAAGTGGAATAATAATAATAATAATCGGCACCTTTCAGTTTCAAATTCCTCGCCTATTACGATTAGAGAACTCCTCCAACCTTCCCCTTGAAGCCTAACGAAAGGACAATCAAATTTCTGGTTTTCCTTCAGAACTGTTTAGCCAAGGTTTAGTGATTTTTATTGTTCAGGTGATATATATATTTCTATTTGTTATTAACAGTTTCTGTTTAACATTTTCATTATCAGTAACTCTGTGTTCTTCAACCGTTCTTAGGATCTATTTCCTTTTGGATGATACCCCAAGAGTTCGAATTTATTTACTTAGCAATTTAAAATTGTTGCATTCAGTCCGGTGTTTCATTGAAATAGGATTTGTCAAATAATACGCTCAGAGCGAAGAAGATGATACAGGATTCAAGTTTACAGTATGACTAGATATATCTAAAAGCCCTAAACGTTACACAAATTACAACTGGACAGCATCATGGCATGCTATCATTACACGATAGAGTCGTATACTACCCTATGAATGTTGGTATATTGCATAATATTGCAGTCAAGTGTGGATTTTATCATAATAAATATGTTTGGTTAGTAGAAACTATACAGTTCCGGTTTTATGTATATGCCTCAAGTACATATTTGCTATGCAACCGAAATATGCATTGATCAACTGGTAGCTGCAATGAATCAGCCACAGCTAGAATATACTGGCCATTTCCTGTGTCTACAAATTAAAATGTGGGCACCACATTTAAGTATCTTAATAATGGCTAATTTCCTTAAAGAAAATGATTCAGTAATATGTGTATTAATTTATAATACTACTTTACTAACGACTTTAGTAAACTCATAAACAGTTTTTACAAGTACTTATTTAAAACCTTGAGATCCGGAAGTCGATACGCCTGTAGAAATTTAGCTCTCGGTCTTGAAGACGATGGAAAACCCTGACTTAAAGCTATTATCATCGTAATATCACCAGCGCATATTTTAACCCTTTGATTTCCGAAGCCTGTCTAAATAATATTTAAAAATTCAGTCCTTACCGCAAAGAAAACAGCATTTCTGCAATACAAATACTAGTTGCTTGATGCTGTTGAGGGAAATAACAGATGTTTATTCTGATAATCACACGAAACACATAAATACACTTTGTTTTTAATTGTTAAAGCGGGTGGTACATGTAGTTACCACAGAGATTTAAAGGGTTAAAACTTTTCTACCACGGCGGTCACACAACAGTACGCTGTTTCGCTGTCGTTCTCAGAGGAAGAAAGTTCATGTGAACCTGTGCTTACAGCTCATACATAAACGCTAGTCGAGATTATGAGCACTATTTCACTTTATATAACCGTCATGTTGAGGGTGTGAGGGGTAGAGGGGAAACGTGATGAAGTACTTGCTTGTATTCTACCATGCGGGCTTTCCGGAGGACACTTCCTGTCCCACTGTGTGCGCACTCTATTCGTGGTTGTTTTATTTATGTTATGGAAACGGAAGGATGTAGAGTTCATATGATGGTTGTATGATGGCAGAGAAATTCATATTGATGACCGTCTCTTATTCACAAATAATCAAACAAAAGTTGCTAAGGAGATTATAAAAATACAAGAAAAACAAGTGACATGGATGAACCGTCTTCTACCATTTGTCAACAACAACAAGATTCCTTACAAATGGTTCCGTTTTATATAAAACAAACCTGCACTATATAGAAGGGTACATGTGGTGACATGAACTATATCTCAGCGATGGGTAATGCCCAACAATTGTGATATAATATTTACTACGCCGTCAGTAGATATGATTTTGGGGTATCCTGTGACATTCCTTATGGCTTCTTTTAAGCAAAAGAATTCCGGTACCTAATTAAATAAAATATCATCGAGGAACGTATTTATATAGAAAAATAAAAATCTAAAAAAAATGTTAGAAGTCGCGAGAAGGAAATCAGTTCAACTAGTTCATTAGCATAGTTGGAACATATTTATTTAGTGTATGTGACTTTTGTTGTGACATAAAAGACTTAAACCACTTCACGTCTTCCTCATTTACAAACAATCTTCCGACACCTGTCAAAACGTGTCTCTCATAGTATTTATCGGAATCGCACATTTTCGTTTTCACTGACTGTCTCTCTCTTGTACGTACTTAGGCTCACACATCCATGGCGAACAGTAAAAAGTTTATTTTAGTTCATGCAAATATATACCAAGTTTGTATGACACCGGTACCATCCTGGTTAAGCTGCTTTTAACTGACATATTCGAAGATTCAATAACAATTTTCTTACTGTGCACTAGTGGTAAGTACCTACTGCCCTGCGGACTACAAAACAGAGGAACCTGTAGCTTCGTGCTCATAGATTTGAGGCCTGTCTTAATGAATACCATCAAAAATCTCGAGAGGATTCTGTCTTTTAGAATTTAACTCCGAATTTGAAAAACTAAAGTGCTTAAAATGTTTCCTTCAATCAGTTATTTAATGCTGTGAAACCTAACGAATTCTTACCTATGGAGAGTACACAGCATCCAACAGTTGCACACTAGGAAAGACGCAAAACAAAGCTGAAGTGTCTATTAGAAGGCGCCAACCTACATTTTTGTTGTAGGAAC